TAACAGTAGAAAAACAAATTTCAGTTCTGAAATGACCAAATTCTGAAACTAATGTGCCAAGTACGAGTAAGCCATATGCTTGTCAATAAGAAAAACTATCAAGTACAAAGACGATGATGTATTTTTTAAAGGTATTGCGGAACCAGTCATACAATTTTCAAAAAAAGGAATATCTGAAGCCAAGTTAGAAGTTTTAACACTGGTTTCGGAATTAGAAGAAAAGTATGACGAACCTGAGATTTCTGGATCGACATATAATCCAGCTTCCTCTCCTTAAGATAATCCACCATATCCAATTATGAGGCCAACTTTATTAATCAATATTAGTATGCTGTATATACTTAAGTTTTAGAATTGTATATAACACAATTGTAAAAACAATTGTAGGTAAAACAAAAATGTAAATTAATTGTAAATAATTGTAAAATATATAACAAAAATTGTAACTGAATTATAATCAACTGTAAAATATACAACAAAATTGTAAATTGTAGAACATAATTGTAAAAAATTTGTGCCTAAAGGAGTCAGTACATTTTTTTTTTTTGTGAGGTGTTGTGAGCAACGGCCTTACAGATAATATGATATTATATTATATTATATTATATTAAGGACAATGGGTTTCACTTAGAAATCATTCTAAACAGTAAATTAAATAGACAAAACTATGAATCAACAGATTTATAGGACTGGCAGAGCGGGACTCGCATATAGGACTGCCAGGTTGCCTTTTGGAAGTTGTCAACTATATCATATTAGCATTACAAACTTTTAAGGCTAAGTTGTTGCATCCCTACGACAACAAAAACTTGAAACAACCTCGCCCAAAGACACCTGCAAATGCACGAGCCGGCCATATCCAAGGAGCTGAAATCATATATAGAGGGGCCAGGAACATGGCATAATATTTAGATGTACCTGAGCAGTTGAGACCAAAGCAACTTCACGACACTCTCAGCCACGTACACTTTTATACGATTACTATATAAATTATATTACTATAATAAACAACTATTTAACTTTATGACTAAATTGACTACAACGTATTTCAATCATCATTAGTTGGAATCCCTGATGGGCCGCACGTAACAATGTCAATAATAATAAGTATATTATACAAATTTATTAAATTTGTTTTAATATTATTTTTACATTTTGTTTTATAAATACTTAGATGGTGCAAATGAAAAAAGCATTGGTAAATAGATACTATAAATATGTTTGAATTGAAAAAGTATAGTCAATAGAAGTCTTAACTGAAGGTTATGGCCCAAAAACATAAAAATAAAATTATGATAATATAGTAATATTATAATAAAATAAAATAATATAGTTACTATTTACAATTTATACAGAAACCTTATTTAACAGACACTTATTTTAAGAAGTCAAATGTTACCAGTCAAACTTTTTGTGTGTATGAACGCAATTTTTTTGCTTGTATTAAACGTATATTTTCTGAAGCAAGAATAAATATAATTAATATACCTAACACGGGTCCTTTGTTTATTTTTCAATGTAAAGGACATTTATATGCAAAACAGTATCAAAATTGGACAAAGTACCAACTAAGCCTTAAAATATGAATAAATAAACCATACTTAGTACTAGGTATTTTAGTATTTACTTTTTATGTGTTTATAATTTTTTTCATTCGCTGTTCAACTTTTGGTGTTAGATTTTGTAAAATATTGACTATTCGTGTTGTTATGAAAATGTACACTAAGATATTGCCTAATCGTATTTATATGATATATTTCTTAAAAATATATATACAATAGTTGCTTAAGTTTACGGTTTATATCATTTTACTCAATCATATGGATAAAATAAGTTTTCACTTTTTAAAGTGAATTAAACAATTTTTAAATATTTAATTTACTATTAGACTGCAGAAATTAACGCATAATATATGGAAAATTATATTAACCAAGCATTTTTTCTTTAAATGGCCAAATTAAAAAGTTAACCAAACTTCACCATATTCAAAAGATTTATAGAAAATAACTGTAGTTGACTCAATGTTTAATCTTAGAAAAAAAAAAGCAGAAGGAAAGTAATATGGCTATAAGTAATTTAAAAAAATAAAAAAATAATTAATTTCATATCTAATATTAATTAGTAAGTTAGTAAAAATATTCATTTTTATTTTATGCATATATTAATTGTTTCGCTATTATTCTTATTCTATTCATGTTCACAACCTGTGAAAGATATTATTTTTATTTTATAGCAATTGTCATTGTTTTATGTTTGGATTACATTAAGTAGGTAGATAAAAATCTTAATAGTACATTTTTGTTGCACCTAATTTGTGTGGATCACATCCTTTTACAAAACACCATTGATAGGTATAATATTCCATTACTATAGGATTTGAATGATGTTACTGAACGAGCATAATAGTATTATGGAATAATTATAATAATTTTTCGTAGGTAGTGTCGTGAAATTAATTTCAAGCTAACTTAGAAGTAAATATAATAGGTAGCCCAATAAAATCATTGAAATGGAACAAGTTCCAAGACCTACTCAAAACTTATTGGATAATGTGAGTAGGAATGTTAAGCTTATAGCATACAAACCAGTAACAATGTAACAGTTCCGGATACTCTGCACGACGACCAGCCATTGTCCTTGACCTGGATGTGGTCAGTGTACACAGCTCCGGCTTTCATGGCGAGACCGAAGTACTGCAATCGCCGTTACCGAATCGACAAGTTATCGAAGCCGAAAGGAGACGTAACCTAGAGTGAACAACGGATAAAATAAACAAAAGGCAAGCAGACAAGTGTTTTCCGGATACCCGAAATCGACATAGGCGTCGACGGACGATGAGAACGGTAAACAGTACAATAATAATATTATATTATTATAACGCGTTGTACCTATTCATCGCAATATTATTACCTGTCCATGTTATGCCGGCCGATGGCGTACCGAACGGAAAACAATCACCATCGGCGTTTCGAGGCGACGAGGCGAACACAGCAGAGCAGTAAGTACCGACGAGGAAGAAGTGTGGAAATAAATGGCCGACCGGTCCGCAGTGCACCGACGCTGTACGACGCTACGCAGTACACGTCCAATTGGCAATTATTGTACGTCATCAGTCGGCATTCCGAGCCTGACGTTGCACGGAGGGGAGACGGCGGCGGCGACGACGGTTGTTGTCGTTGCTGTTGTTGTTGAATACGTGTCGCCGAGCCGATGGTGAAGGGGACGTCGTTGCACCCGTAACGTTCATAAGGTCCAATTTCCAGTGGTTCTCATTCTGCTGACTGACGAAACTTACGACACGTCAACACTAAGCACTATAAAAAAAAATAATAACAATAAACATTCGTATCGAGATGATTGTGGAAGAGCACAGCGATCGTCGTGACGACGACTCGACCGACGTGTTTTGGGTTACATATAAAAAAAAATACGACACGGTATTTTATCCTACCAACTACAAGGCAAAAAATCGTTTAATTTTCGGTTTTTGCAAGTATAGTTAACACTTACATCACGGTTGATGTCTCAGAGAGAGTTGATAGTCGACGGACGATTAGCAACGTGGTTATGCGCGATGACAAAAATGAGAAACGGCAAGTTGAAAAACACTGTGAAATTAACCGAGTCTCACTCATGCCACAGCGAAAGCGGAAAGAGTGAAAGACTAAAGACCGGCGTCATTAAAACAGTGTGACCAACCGTCCTTACACAACTTACCAACTACGTGGAGAAATAATATTTAGAATTAATATTATGGCCCACCACCTCATGATAATAATAACAATAATAATTTGATAAGAGAGGCAAGCTGTACGTAAGTTAGTTTAGAGGATGTCACACTCACATGTGTTGTCTCCGTCTTAAAAATGTACAACATAGCAAAAACTGTTTAGCGCGGAACAACTTTTCTCGCACCACATTTGTTGTAGAGCTACCAACAACTTACCTTGTCTGAGAAAAACAAACGGTTGAAGCTACATAAACAATAATAATAGGTAAATAATAATATTATAATATATTAAAATGTATTATGGGCTATGACGGAGACAGATTTAGGAAAAGTAACCAAACTTATCCAAATGGAGAATAACTATTAAATAGTCAAAGAAAACGAGATTTTGAGGAATTATTATTCGTCTTACAAGTGACAAACATAATTAATCTGTTTGAGAATGTTGAAAAAGAAAATTTCATGTAATTTTTATTAAGCTATAAATTAAGCCAAAATTATTAAGAATTTTAAAATCTTCCACTCCCCGAATGCACCAACTAGATTCACTTATTCATCGGACAAGATACTCTTAAAGAAAATCGAAGCAGTTTTACTGCCCCAAACCTTGATGACAGACACAAAAATAAAGAAAACATTTAAAAAAAAAACACACATCATTTTAAAATCAATACATTCAGCGTCGTACCCAGAATTTAAAATGTAAATAATATAATTGTTTTTTTTTTTTTTTTTATTGGCCTTAAACCTGGCATATTGTGTGTGTTTATTAAGAAACAAAATGTATGTACATACCAATACATTTTTTTGGACAACCCTCCTTTGAATAAATCCTGGTTGCGCCACTGATAAATTGTTAGGCCACCTTAAATGTGAATTTTTCCATTTATTGTTGAATTCAAATTTGTGTTTTTATTGTTTACATAAATCTAATAAAATTGTTCACCATTATGACTTTGGATACAAATATGTTTCAACTCTCTAAAGTTTTTCTCTACCAATGTTGTCTACTTATAGTACATCTAAACGACTATCATACTTATCTATCAAATGTTATACATGTTTTCAACTCTAACCTAAATCTGTATAATGTTTCTTTCATTTGACTGATTTTCTTTATCTTCTGCATCTGTTATGAATATTAATACTTTTGTAATAATCATATTCAAATAATACCTGTAAATAAAAAAAAATTGAGGCGAAGTTACATAAAAACCATGTTAATACTGAGTATATTCTCCGAACTGCATATTACATAGCTAAATATAATATGCCATTTGACAATCATTTTAAATTAATTGAACTTCAAAAAGCTAATGGAATTTCTTTAGGATCAATTTTACATTCTAGATACTCTGCTACTACAATTATAGATCATATTGCTACTAAAATGAGAGAACAGTTAGTTAAGAATATTATCGATTGTAGCGCCAAATTGTCAGTACTTATTGATGAATCCACAACTTTGAGTTCAAAGACAAGTAGGGTTGTTTATATTAAATCTGCAATATCTAATGATGATCCTATTTTTATGTTTTTGGATCTTGTTGAGCTTGATAATCAATTAGCTGTCAATATTGTTGATAAACTACTAGCCAGCCTTCATAAATGTGGCTTTGATGAAACATTTCTTCAAAAAAACTGGGTATCATTTGTCAGTGATAAGGCCAGTGTTCTCCTAGGTAAAAAAAAATTGAGTAGCTAAACGCCTTAAAGATAAATATCATTTGATATTAAGTTGGCATTGTATGAACCACAGACTAGAGTTAGGTGTCGATGATTCAGTAAAAGATTTAACTGCCACAAATCATTTTAAAGCATTTTTTGATAGTCTTTATGCTTTATACAAAAGATCACCAAAAAATCAAAACAAACTTAAAACGATATGTACTGAACTATATATGATAATTTTAAAAGTTGGCAGGGTGCTGGATGTTAGATGGGTGGCCAGCAGCTATAGAGCAGTTCAAGCAATTTGGAAAATATTTCCAGCTTTATATAACCACTTATATAATGCTTCAAATGACATAACTAAAGATAAAAAAAACTCAGTCCAAGTATACTGGTATGTATAAAAAATTAGGAAGTCCACAATTTGTTTTAGATTTGGCACTTATGTGTAATATTCTCAAAGAATTGTCTTATTTATCTAATCAATTGCAGAGTCATACAGTTAAATTATTACAAGCAGATCAATTAATTAAAAGGAGCATTAGAGTATTAGAATCTTTTAAGACTAAGGATGGAGAACATGTTTCAGAAGCAAAGGAAGCTCAAATAATTATGCTTTTCAAAACAATCAGTTTGACCAATACCTAACCAAAAATTAATTTGTATCAAAACAAGTCAATTCAAGTGTATGTAATAATCTACATTCCCGTTTACTCGACAATAATGAAAATAATACTTTCATATTAAACAATATTCAAATTATAAACAAAAACACATGGCCAATAGATGTTGAAATAAGACATGGGGAAAATGAAATACAACAATTTGGGCCGTAGATTTTCATTAAATACATCTGTACTAGTTCAAGGAATGAGAAACTTTATTCATAACAATACAATGAATGAAGAAATACAGGAATTAAATCTACTCATAAAAACATTGCCAGTTTCTACTGCAGAATGCGAACGGGGTTTCAGTTTAATGAATATAATATGTTCTGATCTAAGATCTAAATTGACAATAAAAAATATTGGAAATCTTATGTTTATAAATATAAATGGGACACCTCTTAGTATATGGAACCCAACCAAATATGTTGGAAGCTGGCTGTTGCAGCACAGATCGGCCGATGATAAACGTTCAAGGAAAGTGGAGCCATTAGAACAGTAGTTCTTAACGTGTGCGCTATCTCCACCTTGGGGGCATTTCGGTCTCTATGGGGGGTGATAGTTTTGAAGGCGGCGGTGAGCGTTAAATTGTTGCTTCTCTCTTTTCCATCAACCTATCTAGTTGAAAAAGGATTCAGCGTTGTTGTTCAGCTTTTGATGAAACAAAGAAATCGGTTGGACATTTGTAACAAAGGTGATCTACGTTTAGCTTTGACCAATATCGAACCAGACATCTCCACGTTAAAAGCTACTCATCAGGCTCAGGGCAGTCATTGATAGGTATAATTTTATATTTTATAATTTTTTTTTTCATAGTTAAGTAATTCTTTTTGTATAGTAAATTAAAATTTTTTTGTTAAATGGTGAAAAATATAACCTTTATTATCTAAAAATAAGAGTTTTTACTTTAATTAATAATGTTATAATGTAATATACTGATGAATAAATAAATATATATATATATATTATATCTTTATTTGAATAATTTTGATTTTGCATGGGGGGAGGGGGGCGTTAGCAGTAAGTTATTACGATAAAGGGGGCGCTGAACTAAAAAACGTTAAGAACCACTGCATTAGAAGAACAAACAGACAAAAAATCACTGTGAAAATTTTATAAATTATAAATAATAAATTAATTAATTTGCTATAATGGAATCATATATTATTATATATTTAAATAAATTTAGAATAATAGATAAATCTAAGTCAATTGGTATACGAGGGATGTGGTGGCGGAGCCCCCCACCTATTAAATATTTCTCAATTTAGGTGTATACACAAAACAATATTTATGACTACACCACTGACGGGGACAATACGTAATTGTGAACGATATTAAAACTTTTGGTTTGATTTCAAACGAAGAAACGTTTGCGACTTTGCGTACAGAGACTCGAAAAAAAGTTATGTAAATTAAGTTGGAAAAATAATTTATTAATTAACAAAAAAACTGCAGTCGACTGTTGAGATGACATGAAGACAGTACGTATAAATTGACATATTTTAAAGGCTAACAAAAGATTAAATGAACATTTTTAATTTAAGAAATTAAATAAAATTACTAGGAATATTGAGTTATTCATGAAGGATCACTGTAAGGGAGAATGTAAAAGAAGGTAAAAACTTAATTTTGTACTGTTGTAGCAAAGAGATGCTACAAGTTTAAAACTAAAGTATGAAGGTATAAATTAGTTGTTGAGAGGATCAAAAAGTGAATTATTTAAAACTGGCGGTGGTCCCTGTAAAACTGAATATTCAGGTAGGTACTAGTGGAATTGGAGAAACACTTGTATGAAATTTTTCAGTTGAAGAGTTACCTAGCTTTGTTGATTCTGATACTGGTAAGTTTATTTCTAAATTTTCTCATTTAATGTAACTATATATATTTTGAATTTTCATTAATACAGTTCCACAAAGTGTCATTCGCTCAGTTAATGTCGAAGAACATAATGGAACACAATATATGAATCCGGAAAAGTTAGCTGAATCAAGAGACTTTTATTGACTTTATTGCTTATGCCATTGTTTTAGACGATGAAAATAACAATCTTAAAGTTTATAATAGTATTTTTTTTTACCATTTTATACAGTTTTATATTTTGTATTTGTTACATTTTTAACAGTAGAAAAACAAATTTCAGTTCTGAAATGACCAAATTCTGAAACTAATGTGCCAAGTACGAGTAAGCCATATGCTTGTCAATAAGAAAAACTATCAAGTACAAAGACGATGATGTATTTTTTAAAGGTATTGCGGAACCAGTCATACAATTTTCAAAAAAAGGAATATCTGAAGCCAAGTTAGAAGTTTTAACACTGGTTTCGGAATTAGAAGAAAAGTATGACGAACCTGAGATTTCTGGATCGACATATAATCCAGCTTCCTCTCCTTAAGATAATCCACCATATCCAATTATGAGGCCAACTTTATTAATCAATATTAGTATGCTGTATATACTTAAGTTTTAGAATTGTATATAACACAATTGTAAAAACAATTGTAGGTAAAACAAAAATGTAAATTAATTGTAAATAATTGTAAAATATATAACAAAAATTGTAACTGAATTATAATCAACTGTAAAATATACAACAAAATTGTAAATTGTAGAACATAATTGTAAAAAATTTGTGCCTAAAGGAGTCAGTACATTTTTTTTTTTTGTGAGGTGTTGTGAGCAACGGCCTTACAGATAATATGATATTATATTATATTATATTATATTAAGGACAATGGGTTTCACTTAGAAATCATTCTAAACAGTAAATTAAATAGACAAAACTATGAATCAACAGATTTATAGGACTGGCAGAGCGGGACTCGCATATAGGACTGCCAGGTTGCCTTTTGGAAGTTGTCAACTATATCATATTAGCATTACAAACTTTTAAGGCTAAGTTGTTGCATCCCTACGACAACAAAAACTTGAAACAACCTCGCCCAAAGACACCTGCAAATGCACGAGCCGGCCATATCCAAGGAGCTGAAATCATATATAGAGGGGCCAGGAACATGGCATAATATTTAGATGTACCTGAGCAGTTGAGACCAAAGCAACTTCACGACACTCTCAGCCACGTACACTTTTATACGATTACTATATAAATTATATTACTATAATAAACAACTATTTAACTTTATGACTAAATTGACTACAACGTATTTCAATCATCATTAGTTGGAATCCCTGATGGGCCGCACGTAACAATGTCAATAATAATAAGTATATTATACAAATTTATTAAATTTGTTTTAATATTATTTTTACATTTTGTTTTATAAATACTTAGATGGTGCAAATGAAAAAAGCATTGGTAAATAGATACTATAAATATGTTTGAATTGAAAAAGTATAGTCAATAGAAGTCTTAACTGAAGGTTATGGCCCAAAAACATAAAAATAAAATTATGATAATATAGTAATATTATAATAAAATAAAATAATATAGTTACTATTTACAATTTATACAGAAACCTTATTTAACAGACACTTATTTTAAGAAGTCAAATGTTACCAGTCAAACTTTTTGTGTGTATGAACGCAATTTTTTTGCTTGTATTAAACGTATATTTTCTGAAGCAAGAATAAATATAATTAATATACCTAACACGGGTCCTTTGTTTATTTTTCAATGTAAAGGACATTTATATGCAAAACAGTATCAAAATTGGACAAAGTACCAACTAAGCCTTAAAATATGAATAAATAAACCATACTTAGTACTAGGTATTTTAGTATTTACTTTTTATGTGTTTATAATTTTTTTCATTCGCTGTTCAACTTTTGGTGTTAGATTTTGTAAAATATTGACTATTCGTGTTGTTATGAAAATGTACACTAAGATATTGCCTAATCGTATTTATATGATATATTTCTTAAAAATATATATACAATAGTTGCTTAAGTTTACGGTTTATATCATTTTACTCAATCATATGGATAAAATAAGTTTTCACTTTTTAAAGTGAATTAAACAATTTTTAAATATTTAATTTACTATTAGACTGCAGAAATTAACGCATAATATATGGAAAATTATATTAACCAAGCATTTTTTCTTTAAATGGCCAAATTAAAAAGTTAACCAAACTTCACCATATTCAAAAGATTTATAGAAAATAACTGTAGTTGACTCAATGTTTAATCTTAGAAAAAAAAAAGCAGAAGGAAAGTAATATGGCTATAAGTAATTTAAAAAAATAAAAAAATAATTAATTTCATATCTAATATTAATTAGTAAGTTAGTAAAAATATTCATTTTTATTTTATGCATATATTAATTGTTTCGCTATTATTCTTATTCTATTCATGTTCACAACCTGTGAAAGATATTATTTTTATTTTATAGCAATTGTCATTGTTTTATGTTTGGATTACATTAAGTAGGTAGATAAAAATCTTAATAGTACATTTTTGTTGCACCTAATTTGTGTGGATCACATCCTTTTACAAAACACCATTGATAGGTATAATATTCCATTACTATAGGATTTGAATGATGTTACTGAACGAGCATAATAGTATTATGGAATAATTATAATAATTTTTCGTAGGTAGTGTCGTGAAATTAATTTCAAGCTAACTTAGAAGTAAATATAATAGGTAGCCCAATAAAATCATTGAAATGGAACAAGTTCCAAGACCTACTCAAAACTTATTGGATAATGTGAGTAGGAATGTTAAGCTTATAGCATACAAACCAGTAACAATGTAACAGTTCCGGATACTCTGCACGACGACCAGCCATTGTCCTTGACCTGGATGTGGTCAGTGTACACAGCTCCGGCTTTCATGGCGAGACCGAAGTACTGCAATCGCCGTTACCGAATCGACAAGTTATCGAAGCCGAAAGGAGACGTAACCTAGAGTGAACAACGGATAAAATAAACAAAAGGCAAGCAGACAAGTGTTTTCCGGATACCCGAAATCGACATAGGCGTCGACGGACGATGAGAACGGTAAACAGTACAATAATAATATTATATTATTATAACGCGTTGTACCTATTCATCGCAATATTATTACCTGTCCATGTTATGCCGGCCGATGGCGTACCGAACGGAAAACAATCACCATCGGCGTTTCGAGGCGACGAGGCGAACACAGCAGAGCAGTAAGTACCGACGAGGAAGAAGTGTGGAAATAAATGGCCGACCGGTCCGCAGTGCACCGACGCTGTACGACGCTACGCAGTACACGTCCAATTGGCAATTATTGTACGTCATCAGTCGGCATTCCGAGCCTGACGTTGCACGGAGGGGAGACGGCGGCGGCGACGACGGTTGTTGTCGTTGCTGTTGTTGTTGAATACGTGTCGCCGAGCCGATGGTGAAGGGGACGTCGTTGCACCCGTAACGTTCATAAGGTCCAATTTCCAGTGGTTCTCATTCTGCTGACTGACGAAACTTACGACACGTCAACACTAAGCACTATAAAAAAAAATAATAACAATAAACATTCGTATCGAGATGATTGTGGAAGAGCACAGCGATCGTCGT